GTTTTTTTAACTTTATTTCTTAAGTAAAAACTGTGAAAAATATTGTAAAAGATTACAGGCGAATAAAATGAAAAAGCAAAATAGGCAGTTTTTTTAACTTTATTTCTTAAGTAAAAACTGTGAAAAATATTGTAAAAGATTACAGGCGAATAAAATGAAAAAAAAGCAAAATAGGCAGTTTTTTAACTTTTTTTTCTTAAAAAAAACTGTGAAAAATATTGAAAAGATTATTAAAATGAAAAAGCAAAATAGGCAGTTTTTTAACTTTATTTCTTAAGTAAAAAAAAATATTGTAAAAGATTACAGGCGAATAAAATGAAAAAAAGCAAAATAGGCAGTTTTTTTAACTTTATTTCTTAAGTAAAAACTGTGAAAAATATTGTAAAAGATTACAGGCGAATAAAATGAAAAAGCAAAATAGGCAGTTTTTTTAACTTTATTTCTTAAGTAAAAACTGTGAAAAATATTGTAAAAGATTACAGGCGAATAAAATGAATAAGCAATGTATATAACACCAAAATATTCCTGGGCAGAAATTATAAAAAAATTGTTTTAAAATTGCATTGTTTATTGAAAACCTCACTAAAACTGCTACGCTGTATAACATATTACATCATTATAGCTAAATTGTTCAGTATATTTTGCTTTTGAAGCAAATGAGGGTAAGAATTGATGGGACAATGATTTAGCAATAATGCACTTGTGCCATGCATCTTGTCCAAATACAATTTGCAGTCTTTCAGAAAATTATAAATTTTATAAGGCTTTCACTGATCATCGGAATGAAATTCCATCGCTACGATTTTTAACTTAAACTTAATCTTTAAACTTTTTTCATCAAAAAACGGTGATGATTTGGAAAAAAATATTTTGTGTCATTTTTTATCATATAAACTTTCAAATTAAGTGCAATAATAGCACAATTCCTAAATCGACTTGCCCTAGTACAGTGGCGTAGCTTGCGAGGGGGCGGACCGCCCCGGGTGCCAGCACAGTAGGGGTGACACAATGTCACCCCCAACAAAATTTTTCAACCAGGCTAAGGTGCCAAAAATAGTCTGAAAACACTGGTGGAGACACAGGGTTTTGCAGGCAGGCATATGACCCACCAGAAATAATTTATGACCCCCCAGTTTTGTCCCCCCGTCAGGAATTTTCTAATAAATTGTCGGGAAATTTGTGAGTAGGAAAAATAGCAATGTTTTCAGCTTTTGATTTGAACTGATTATTTTGTGGTATTGGATTTTGTCTTGGATCATACATGTAAACAGTAACGTACCGGTCAGTAGAGTAAAGTAGAGGTAGAGCATGTATGAAAATTTACTTACAGCTAACCATTCAGCATAGGGTGAATCGGGGTCATTGGGGTGACATCTTGAGCGGACCGCCCCGGGTGACGTATACTCTAGCTACACCACTGCCCTAGTGTATATGTTTTCCAGGAGTGAAACCTATAAACTTTACCCGTGCCCTAAGAATTTCATTTGTCTCTTTCTGATTTTAAGTATCTTCTTTTTTTTCTGTGCCGTGTCCCTTCATCACGTAGGCGATCTTGGCTCTCCACATCTTCCTCTCCCTTGTAGCTCTTAATAAATTTTGTCCTTTTGCAATTTCTTCCAAACCCTGTTCTACGATTCATTAACTAAATTCCATCAAGTATGTTTTGCCTCAATCTGTCCTGGGAGTATCAGATTTTCCAAACCTTCTTTCCTCATTGCGTGCCTCAGAAATTTCAGCTGCCGTTTCATGATGTTAAGTATATGAACTTTTGCTTCTGTTTTCCTAAAACCTTATCGCTGCTCACGTGATTAGGCTATGGGATTTTCAGCATCCTTCTGTAGAACCACATTTTTATTGTTCGCTTCTTCATCTGTGATGAGATGATACAACATTCACTAAAATATAGGAGGACCGATATTACATAACAGTTCAGTAATTTTTTCTTTGTTTCCAATGTAATTTTCCTGTTTCTTAATACTTTGCTTAGCTTTTGGAAGGCGTCTTTTGTTATCCCAATGCGTCGTCGGATGTCAGTGTTGCATTTTCCATCTTCTGTTTTCTTACAATTGTTGTCTAACTCTCTCTCTCTCTCTCTCTCTTTTCTTTACTACCTTCTGTAAGAGTTCCTGTAAGTGTTAAATTCTCCAAGCCCACTTTCCTCATTATGTGCCCTAGGAATTTCATCTGCCCCTTTCTGATCCTAAGTATAATTGTTTTTTGTTTCCATATTCCTTAAATATTTGTCATTACTCACGTGGTCAGTCTGTGGTATTCTCAGTATCCTTCTGTAGACCTATATTTCTGTGTCCTCAAGATTCGTATTCATCTGTGAAGAGATTGCCCATATTCACTGTCATATACATAACAGTTACGTAATCTTTTCTTTGTTTCTAACGAAATTTTCCTGTTACTTAATACTTTGCTTAGCTTTCGGAAGGCATCTTTTGCTGTTCCAATGCACCTTCGGATTTCGGTGTCACATCTTCCCTCCTCTGTTAAAACACTTCCCAGATATTTAAACGTCTCTACTTGTTTAATTTCAGGGATACATAATGAGGACGGAGGGCTGGGAAAATCTGTTACTCACAGGGAGATTGAGAGAAAGAGAGACAGAGGAAGGCAACGCATAACATACTTAATACTTAAGAAAATGAATGGCGTAACAGGTTTTCGAAATAGCAAAAAGATAGAATTTATTTAGAACTGCAAGGGGCAGGAAAATGTGGAGAGCCATGATCGCCTACGTCCTAAAAGTACATAGTATATATATAAAAAAAGATTTTGCTATCACCAGTTCGTAGCTCGCGTCTTTTTTTTTTTTCTCATGCATTCTCCCTTCTTGCAAATGATTGATTACCTGGGACTTCTGTATATGCCATGTCCCTTCAGGACGTAGGCGATCATGGCTCTCTACAACTTCCTGTTGTCTTTGGACAGGAAGTTGTAGAGAAAAAAATGGCGGTTTTCTATTATTTCTCTCAAACCCTGTACCGCCATCCATTTAGTCATGCTCACTAATTATGTTATGCGTAATTTTACTCTGTCCTTCATCTCGTCTCTCTGCCCCTCGTGTATCAGATTTTCTAAGCCTTCTTTCCTCGCCATGTGCCCTAGAAATTTCAACTGCCTCTTCCTGATGTTAAGTATAAGTTCCCTTTTTGGTTCCATTTTCTCTAAAACTTCGTTGTTACATGTTCAACCCATGATATCCTCAGCATCCTTCTGTAGAACCAAATTTCTGTTGCTTCAGGTCTTCTCTTCACCTTTGAGAAGATGGTAACAAACAATAAATCGTAACCAAAATATATACGATAATAATTTCTTCTTCTTTACATACCGTAACCCCACTCAGGACGTAGGCGATCATGGCTCTCCACAATGTCCTATCCTTCGTAGCTGTTTATAACTTTTGTCTTTTTGTTATTTCTCCGAAACCTTGTAACGCCATCCATTTACTCATTCTCTTTCTTCTTTTTCTGTGTGCCGTGTCCCTTCAGGACGTAGGCAATCATGGCTCTCCACAATTTCCTGTCCTTCATCGCTGTTAATAAATTTTTTCTTTCTTGTTATTTTTCATTAACCTTGTAACGCCATCCATTTAGTCAAACTCACTAAATATGTTATGTGGTGTTTTCCTCTGTTTTTCTTGCCTTTAATCTGTCCTGTGAGTGTCAGATTTTCTAAACCGTCTTTCCTCATTATGTGCCCTAGAAATTTCAGCTGTCTCTTCCTGGTGTTAATTGTAAGTCCCCCTTTTTGTTTCCATTTCCCCTAAAACCTTTTCCTCACATGTTTCATCCATGGTTTCTGTAGAACCACGTTACTTTTAGTTTTTTTTTCTCCAAAAATTCTTGCGAAATTACTATTGTTCTGCGATAAGCACCTAATGCAGGCCAGTATATATATATATATATGTGTGTGTGTGGATTTGGTCCATAGCAAATGCGTGTGTATTGTTCGTAGCTGTACATGTGTGAAGTCATGCTTTTCAATCCCACCCAACACCCACCCACCACACCCTCTGTTTTACTTCTTTGCCACTTTTTACTGGCATCTCCGTTTTTTCCTTTTTTTTTTCTCCTCCCTTCAATCTGGTGATACGTGTGTGCAATTGTATATGAAATGATTTCATGGTGAGTTCACTGTGTCTGTGTGTTGGACCGTTTCGTTAACCCCCACCCCTCCAAGCACACACCTTCCTTTCATCTCGCTGTCTAGATTCGCTGTTCTCTCGCTCTGTGGCCCGCGGCCTCGACATATGCATACATACTTGTACGGCTGAGTCATATCTATTTTGAGAGTGATCTACTTGATATGGCCAAGTCAAGAATGGTTTGTTTTTTGGGTTGGCGAAAGACGCTTCTTGTTCGTTGGTGAGTCGGGTGGCGAGAATCGGTTTTGCTCGGCAAAAGTCGGTTTGCGGTTGGCCCACCTCTTGGCTCATTTAGTTAACCAGGACAGGATTGGAGATAGAACCCGTGAAATGAGCTTTAACAACAAAAAAGAAATGTAAAAAAAAAGAAAAAAAAGCAGCTGTTCAAAGCAAGCGGGTTGTCCTTAGTTGATAGACTGGCGCAACAATGTCTTCCCAGTTACTTATTTTCAAATAATTTGCTTTTGTGACCAAGGTTTGTAAATTTGAGGCGAATGGTCGCTTGCAGATGATAGAGTTTAGAGCCGCATATAAACTCTAGGTTGAAAGCATTCCCAGCCTCCACCACACAAATATTCTCAGCCACACACACACACATACTCGCACAGACGCAAACACAGAAATGCGCTTAAACATTCAAAAAGGAAACACACGTAATCACAAACATAAATGCATACTAAGACACACACTCAAACCTACCCATACATACACACATGCATATACACAAGTGTATGTACATTTATGAAAATCATTCTATAGTTTTTTTCTATTTTTCATACGTTTGAAATATATATATGTGTGTGTGTGAATGTATACAAATACTATTTATATATATGTATGCAAATACTATATAGGTATAGATAGACAGACAGATAGATAGATAAATAGATAGATAGATAGATAGATAGATAGAGAGAGAGAGAGAGAGAGAGAACAGACTGTCGTCGCTGGGTGTTGACCACAATGTCAACTTTTATATTTAAATGCACTCTGTCGAGGATACTGAGCTCATTAACCTATAAATATAGCATTCCTTAAAAGTATATTCTATCATATATATATATATATATATATATATATATATATATATATATATATATATATATATATATATATATAAAAAGGCTTAAACACTAATATTCCATGGTCATAATTTATTCCATTGGAATCGTAAATACGATCCAATTCATCAGACCTACAAATTCAAAATGAAAACAGAAAAAAACAACTCCGGAAATGTATGTATATTTACCAATAAATTATGACCATGGAATATTAGTGTTTAAGCCTTTTTATTATATCCTTACTCTGTCCTGGACATTGAGTTCTACCTGGATTCTATCCTCTTGGAATTTTTTTCCCAAAAATATACATGTATGGATATTTATATATTTTGCATATGTATGTATATTTACCACTAATATTATCTCTCTCTCTCTCTCTCTCTCTCTCTCTCTCTCTCTCCATATATATATATATATATATATATATATATAATTTGCTGTTGAGATTTCAAGGAAATTCTTTTGAAATTAAATTTTATGCGTAAATCAATTTTTTTATTCGGAAGTTTTTGTATATTTCTAGCCGACTTAATATATATATATATATATATACAGGGTTTATTTATAAAGAGTGTTCCAATAACTTGGACCGATTTTAAATGTGGATTAAGTTTAAGCATCTAATGATTTTTTTTTCTTTTTCCTTCAGATTTAACAACTTAAGTCTTTAGCAATTTCAACCATGGAAAGATTAACAATCAAACAACGTGTTAAAGTTATCGAAGCATTTTACGAAAATGGATATTCAAACAGAAATGCATTGCGCGCACTTCGCGATTTTTTTGATCAACTTAATCGACCATCTGAGAATGCAATTGGAAACGATGTAACGTTGTGGAGATGTTCAATTCCTGCGCGCGATGACGAATAGTGTTGTCTGGATTTTCGAACACATTCTCTGCAGCAATGTTGTCAGCTGAACGGCGTAAACGAGCACGCACTGATGTTTTCACATCTGCCACCGACCCAGTTTGTTTGAATTTACGAACAATTTTTCCGATTGCACTCTTGAAACACTGAGCAATGGTGAGAGGGAAAAGATCATTGAGGCCTTCGGTAATGGTACAAAACGTTCATACTCTGACTTCCATCTTCAAAGTCCATTCAAGAACCATCGAGAGAATGGTGAATAAGTTTAAAAAAGAGGGATCACTAGAGAGGAAAACTGGATCATGAGGTGACAACAGCAAGAGGGATCATCAATTAAACTTAGCTCTAAAGAGATCAATTAGAAAAGATCCAACTCAATCCATAAGACGTCTAACACGCGAGAAAGAAGTTTCAGCTATGACAGTCTAAAGATAAGTGAAAAAATACTTGAAAATGAAATCGTACGTAACAACTATGAGGAACCTTGTTACTTCAGGACAGCAAGCTAGAAGGTTAGAGAGGGCGAAGATCATCTTGAATGATCCTGAAATATTATATATATATTTGAACATTATTTCAATCCTTCATGAGCTTCCAATCCTTAGCTATAATTAATTGATGATGAACATGTCATTTTCGTTTCATCACGATTCTTCTGTTAAGCTTGGAGAGAAATTATACATTCTTATTGCTGAAAGTAGAGTCCAATAGTGTTATTTAAACGTTGGAGAATTCCAGTAAGATATCTTTAATCAGTTCTAAGATACAACGGTTCAAATGTCAATCTAAAAATTGGACAATTTTGCTGTTACAAATGCCATGGTCACGGCGGAGAATCTTCACCATTCCCTTCATGTTCCTTTGATAAGGAGTAAGTTCCCTTCAGATAGCTTATTCACCAGAACTGTTCCTTTGCTGAAAGGACTCCCGATAGGATGCTTCTTTAACAAATAAATTCTTGGTCTCTAAGTTCAGGGTCAACCGATATCTATCCAACACGTCCTCATGCGTTTCTTACTTCCCGCTTCACTTCAACAGTCTTCCTCAGTAATCCTCTAGATTGAGTGACCCTTGGGCCTTGTATTGGGTAATATATATATATATATATATATATATATATTACCCAATATATTGGGTAATATATATATTGGGTAATATATATTGGGTAATATATATATATATATATATATATATATATATATATATATATATATATATATATATATATATAAAAGTATATGTTACCAATAATTTTATCAGTAACATATTCAGAAATGAAATGACATTTTTTTTGTAATCAGGTCCTGTGACAAACTATGTTAAACTTAAAATATCAATCAGTGAGCGAAATAAATGGTTCAGTTCGACATTCCAACCACCTGAAGAAGGCCGGAGCGTATAACGGCCGAAACGTTGTAATAAATATGTCGACAAAGATGAGAACAATAGTCTGAATAATGTAAATAGTGTACATAATACCTCATCTCATGTTGCATAATATCGGTTTTCTTAAATGGCAGTGGATACTTGACAAGCATCACACAGATGAAGAAGAGATTTGAAGTGACAGAAATGTTGTCCGACAGAAGGATGATGAGAATGCCATGGACTGAAGGATGTGAGCAACGGCGAAATTTTATAGAAAATAATAATGAAAAGGATGCTTATACTTAACATCAGGAAGAGATAGTTGAAATTTCTAAGGCCCATAATGAGGAAAGAGGGCTTGGTAAATTTGATACTCACAACACATATTGAAGGCAAGAGGTACAGAGGAAAATAACGCATAACCTAACTAGCGAGCCTGGGGGAATGGATGGCATTTTAGGAGAGATAATAAAAAGACAACAAATTATTAGGAGCTACAAAAAAAAAAAGAAAGAAAAGGAAATCGTGGAGCGCCATGATAGCCAGTGTCCTGACGGGACTCGGCACATAGAAGAAGGATAATCAATATTCATAGATGTATGGAACGATTTTCATCTACTAAAGGTGTTTGTTTGAGCGATATCTTCTGTTTGTTTGACACTCACAGAACCCACTCGTAGTTTATACTGCAACTGTGCCTAACGGGCATTACTTACCGTTTCTGGGAGAGACCGTATAATCTGGCGTGATCAACAGTTTTAATAAAGCCGGTACTCTTACGGCGACTTCTGACTTCTGGTATCTATCTATCTATCTATCTATCTATCTATCTATCTATCTATCTATCTAAATAAATATGAATACTAGATATCCCACATTGAATTTTGGTGTTAATAAAAAGCGTACTCACAATATCTGTCTATATCTCTGAAATGAGGTATTATGATTATTTACATTATTTGCATTATCTGTTATTCTCCTCTTCTACACCACGGCCTTCTTCTGGTGATTGGAATATCGAACCGAATCCTTTATTTTGGAGGCACGATGGAGTAATGGCATTGGCTCATATTGCGGAATCGGAGAGCCGAGTTCGTATTCCAGTCGAATCCATTACATTCAATTACGTGCTAATACCTTCTCCCCCAGCTATGAGTAAATAGCAGAACAGATCAGGTTCTATAGCCTTAGATAGCAACTGGTCAACCGCAGAAAGAAATGGCGACCCACTGCAGTCATGTATCGAAAGATACATGATCCCCCTAGGCGTGTATGACGCATCACTCACAACTGACAGACTGACTCTTTATTTCATCCACCGGAGTAGATTGTTCTAGTTCCACGTACCATGGCTCTTCCGGATGTTTCAGTTATTTCCCTTTCACTCAACTTTTTAAGTATTTTGGTTCATCAGTGCTGTAGCCTGGTATTGAACTCACAACTCTTTGGGTCTATTCACTGGATCTAGCCAACGTCTTTATCCACTAGACCCAATCTTTGTTGTCAATCGCAATCTTTTGTCTTTTTAATTCCTGTTCTGTTTTTATTCTCACTTCTTGATGTTTTTTTCTCATATTTCCACACACTTAGTAACCCCTTAGTGGCTTTATTGCCTTGCTTGGAGAAAAAATGGTTAAACAAAATGAACAACGCTAGACGTCATTGTAAGACAGTTGTGTCTTGAATACATAAGCACTTTATCCGAAATAAAACCATTGAACTGTAACCTAATTCGATGACGATACGCAATTCCCCCCTTCCCAAATACCAACTGAGAGCAGGATCGAATTACAAATATCGGCACGAAATCCCTCACAATAGGAACAAAATATAAATTTCTACGATTTGTCTGATCTTCAGTTATAATACCACTTTTTCTATCCCCTATATCCTAAAAACTGAACCAGTGAATAAACTTATACCAAAGGTTTAATGCACATTACTTTGACTACTCGTCTACTGACGGATTTACAGGCTGCTTTTTTTTATACCTCCTAGATCTTAAGGGGAGATAACTGATGATTTATCAGTGCATCGTGGTTTCCTGATTTCTTCATGTTTTATGTCATGTGATCTTAGTTGGGTGATTGGTTGCTTCTGTTTAGTAGCATATCAACATCTACGGATCAAAAGCGTAAAGAGGACTATATTTAGTCGTCCCCCCACGAGGGCGTCATGTGGCACAAGGCCGGTTTAACGTGGGCACTCCGAGCCCATGGGCTCGGCCAAAAATATACCCATTGAACTCGTATAAACGGGTTCAGGGCCGGTCTACCTCCCTGAAGGAGTCTCCGCCCTTCGGCGTAGCCTCCTTTGGGTTCCTCCCGCCCGAAAGCAGAGAGTTGAACCGAACCGTCGCTCAAGACTTGAGCGACGGACTCAGAGGACGCTAACTTATTACGTAAAGAGGACGCTAACTTACATCGCTTGATTTCGTTTCCTGCTAGTTTTGGAGTTGCTGTTTTCTTTTTATTTTTAGTATTTTAATATGGCATAGATTACAGTAGAAATTCCAGTTTTTAGTTGCAACAACCATTTCAAAGTGAAATTGCCCTGTCTATATTTCTGAGATGAGGTATTATGTACACTATTTACATTATTCGGACTATTGTCCTCATCTTTGTTGCCATATTTATTACAACGTTTCAGCCTTTCAGTATCTGTCTATATTTTTAAGATGAGATATTATGTACACTATTTACATTATTCAGACTATTGTCCTCATCTTTGTCGCCATATCTATTACAAAGTTTCAGCCTTTCAGTATCTGTCTATATTTCTGAGAGGAGGTATTATGTACACTATTTACATTATTCAGACTATTGTCCTCATCTTTGTCGCCATATTTATTACAACGTTTCAGCCTTTCAGTATCTGTCTATATTTCTAAGATGAGGTATTATGTACACTATTTACATTATTCGGACTATTGTCCTCATCTTTGTTGCCATATTTATTACAATGTTTCAGCCTTTCAGTATCTGTATATATTTCTGAGATGAGGTATTATTTACACTATTTATATTATTCGGACTATGTCCTCATCTTTGTTGCCATATTTATCACAACTTTTCGCCTGTTGTACGCTCCGGCCTTCTTCAGAACACGTGGCGCAGTGGATAAAGGCGTTAGTTAGATAAAATGACAGGATAGGACCCAAAGAGTGTGATTTCAATACGTGTTTAAGGCGGTGCGGAATTTGGAGGGGGGGATTAATAGGCGATAACTGATAACTGCCATCCATTAGACATGGCACACGGAACTAGAACAGTCTACCTCAGTGAGCGAAATAAGGGTTTCAGTTCAACATTCCAACCACCTGAAGAAGGATGGAGCGTAGAACGGTCGAAACGTTGTGATAAATATGGCAACAAAGATGAGGACAATAGTCCGAATAATGTAAATAGTGAATATTGCCCTGTGGAGCATTAAAAAATTACCGTGGACCTGCAATTTGCTATTTTTTATGTGAACTTTCAGTAGTGTTACATGAACCGCCAGGATCCATACAGACCCCGATTGAAACCACTAAGTTATCAGCTTTCAGATCTACTAACTTTACGCAACCGTTTACTAAAAACAATGATTAAAATGGGCTTCAAGCGAATGAATCCTGTGGGTATCAAGGGAGATAACTCCTCATCAGACCCTATAGACTGGCATTACAAAGAGTTTTACCAAATAACAAAAACCACATAACTTGCAACTTCCAACAGAAACAGAAATAAAAAATGGCTAATACATGTAGCGCGTGATTTCTTTACGTTTTATGTCAGGAGATCTTCAAACCACAATCTCTCTTTACCAATTCTTTATATCTGCTACCTTTTTTTTCTTCTCCAAGACAGAAGAAAAAGTATCAGTTCTCGCTATATGAGATCATTAAACTTATCAGTGAATCGCCATCGTTTGCCAACATCAACACCCGGGCACAAGCTCAGCGTTAAATAAAAGCCCTGTTCAGTGAGTTCTTCACGCCTATACCCAATTGTGTTTCGATTCCTGTCTTTTGCGTTCCTGAAGACAATAGTGTCCGTAATATATCTTATTTATAAAAGCAATTAAAAACGTTTTTAATTAAATAATATTTTAGTATTGTTGCAGTTTTTATTTTACGAGTCAGAGAAGATTTTCGGCAACAGTGAGTCCTGTT